GGGTGGGTGAAAAGCCTAGCAGCCCTTGGCCTGCAGCTGGCTTGGGAGGCTTTGGAGGGAGTTGGGGTCTGGGGCAGCAGCAGCAGTGAGCGGTGGTGGTGGGGTGGGGGTTGTGCGCGGTGTGTAGAGTAGAGCTGTGTAGGAGGCCCAGACCAAATATCCCAAGGGGAGCAGGCCAGGGGTAGGCACGTTGGCACGGCCTGGAGAAGCGGGGAGGCTGCAAGGTCAGCTGGGGGTATGTAGGTGTTCTGTGGGGGACCTGGGAGCCATGGCAAGTGTGAGTGTGAGGCTGGTGGCAAGAAGGGCTTTGGTTCTGCTGGGACATTCTTAGGGGAAGAAGCAGCAACATGTTCATCTCCAAACAGTTTCTTCCCTACTGCCCCCTTCCCTCTGTCCTGGAGGAAGGAAAAGCTGGGGAACCCTGAGCTCCCGCATGGCCTGGGGAAGGTCAGAGGGAACTGCAGAGAGCTGCCGAAACCCAGTCCTGAGGTCCTGTGCTTTCCCAGCAGGAGACCCGCACCTTACTGTGCCGTGCTGGTGGCCCAGCCGCGTGTGCCGACCAGGCTCTGCTGTGTGGATCTCTGTTTTCCTCTGTGGTTCCTGACCCTTTCTCCTCACGCCTCAAAGTGCCTTTGCTCAAATCTGAGCCCCTTTAAAGGCGAAGATGCTGAGGCAATGCGAATGTTGGTTCCAGGCCTCTCAGGGACTTTGGGGCAGGCTGTGCACTGAGTTCCCTGTTGTGCCTCCAGCTGCCAGGTGGAAGCCATGCAGCAAAAGCTCACTGTGTCACGGTGCTGTCTGGCTGGGATTAGAGCTGAGCTCAGAGGGGCACCAGCTAGTTCCCCAGGGACTTGATCAGGTATCGCATAGGTTCAGATTCTGCAGGATGTGCTGGGGGCCACAGCCCTGCCATTTACTAGCTGTATGGCCTTGCACGAGTTGCTTAATTTCTCTGTACCTCAATGTCCTTATCAGCAAGATAGGACTTAATGAAGATTGAATAGGATGGTGCCTGCTCCAGTGCTCTGGAGAATTTCTGGCTCAGTAAAAGCTATATAAATATTGGATTAAGTAAATAAAAACATAATTAAAAATAAAGCAGAACCTAGAGAATAGGCTTTGAGGGTTGATCCTATGTGATTGTAGGCAGGTTATTTATCCTCTCTGAGCCTTGATTCCCTTTTCTACACGATGGGGATGTCAGATCTGAACTAAGGAAGAAATGAGATTATGCAGCTGAAGTGCCTACAGGTCGTGAGCACCCATTAAACAGGATCCTCCATTGGGATCCTCTTCCACCCAAGATTGGAGGCAGGAAGAGCTGCAACCTTGGCAGTGGGTGGTGATGGGAGAGGAGTCTCATTGAAGCAGCAGGGAATGGTTGCTGGGAATCTCTTCCTCATCTTTCTCATCAAGATGCCCAGCAGGGGCTGGGGACCTGAGACCAGGGCCTACAGAGTCCCACTTGCCTTTCTCAGGGACATATGATCTTGGAACTCAGGGACTCAGGATCTGGTTGGGCTGCGGCCCTGACCTCCAAACTGTGAAATGCCCTTGGAGCCCCAGCTCCCCACCACTCATGTTCTCCACCTGCAGACTCAACCCAATCCCCTGTCTTGCTGCAGGTCTCTGATGCTTATCCTGCTGCCTGCTCCACCTCCACAGTTCTTGCCCTCCTCCCTCAAACCCCACTCCAGGATAAGAAGAGGAAGTGGCTGTTATGTATTTGTTCCTTGTTTCTCCCTCTCCCTTTTTGAGGGACTATTTATTCCATCTTTCATGTGATTCCCAGGGTGTGTCATGGGTGTCTGACAATCAAAAGACCAGCTTCTTCGCATAAGGCAGGTCAGGTGACCCCAGTTGGCCAATCAAGATGCCTCATCTGCCTGAGAGAAGTGACTGGACCAGAACTACACACATGATTAAAGAGGACCAATCAGCGTTCCTTTTGGGGAGATGCTAGGGAGGCTGGGAGACGGAGGAGCTTCTGACATCAGAAGCTAGAGGATCACAAAGACCATCTTTCCCATCACTTTGAACAAGACTTCCTGGGGTTGATGCTAATACAGAGAAGAGCAGAGCTTAGAAGGGAAAGGAAGGCAGGTTCTTATGGTCACTGTTTGAACTTCTGGATGTAGCCATGTCTGAAGATGGTATTAGGCTCCCAATGAAATAAACCAGTTGACTCCTTTTTGCTTGAACCAGTTTGAATGAGTTTCTGTTATAGCCCAAAGAGTTTGAGTGGCCCTAGTCATCTTTGCTGCCCTTTCTTCACTGTACATGTGCTCATTGTCTCCTGGGCATCTCCCTTCCTGGTCTTGCCCTTGCCATCTCTTGGTCCTTCACTGTAGTTCAAGCTTTTAGTTTACTTCTTGCCATTGCTCACTGAGGGTAGGGGTGGGAGAGAGGGAAGGGAGACAATGAAAAGTGTAGGCAGAGGTGTGTCTTATGAATCCAGAGGGCCTGAATCAAGGATTCAATGGCAGTAAGCCCATGGATAAGCACCCATGTGCCTGCTTGCCTTAGAAGGGAGAAAGACACAGAGAGGGTGAGTGACTTGTTCAAAGTTACATAGCTAGGGAGTGGCAGAAGCAGAGCAGAATTGGGGTCCTTTGACTTTAGACTCTGTTGTCCCCAAAGGGGACTGTCAAAAGAGAGCCATTCTCACTTGAGCTTCTTATTTTGCAGATGACAAAATTTGGGGTCCAAACGGAAGACAGATTGGTCCACTGTCTCTTCAGTAGGGTAGTGATTTGCAGGGTGCAGGGCATAGGGGGCGAGTGTGTATACAATACATACAGGCCACACTCCACTCCCTCTCCTACTGGTCCTCAGGGACTGCTTGAATTAGAGGCATAGTGAGGAGCATAAACAAAGGCTCTTTGACAAAATACTTAAAATAGCACTGTTTGGTTCCTACATGAAGCCCAGCTTCCCACCTTCAATCTTCACCCCTACCCTGCCCATCCACCTCCCAGCGGGCCTCCATATTAGCTGTCCGCCATGCCCCCATCTCTGAGTAATGCCTGTCTGCCACTATTTCCTATTTATCAGTTTGGGACGGTCTCTATTGACTTTCTGCCCTGATAAGGATTTCACTCACACGCCCTCTCTGCACCCCACATTCTCTGTTATGGTTTTCAGGGCTTCTAGTGGGGAGCTTTCTGACTTTGAGGACTATATCCCCTCTGTTTCTTGGTCAGGCAATGCTAGAAGCATCTCCTGCTGCCCCCAGAGCCCTTCCTAGCACTAGGAGGTTTTCTAGGCCCCTGCCATTGTGCAGCCCCACAGAGCCCTTCCTGATGTCCCATCATGTCACTGTAGGGAACCACCACTCACCATCATCATAGGAACCAGGGCCATGGGTCCCTGAGCTCTTGTTTTATCCTTGTGTCCTTCCTCTGTGTTCTGACATGGCCCCTGCAGGGGGAGGGAGTGTCATCCTGGTCAAAAAGTCTATAGCTTTGTGGTGTCCCTCCAGCTTTTTGGGGCCTTGGAGGCCAGCTGCTTCTGAGGGTCTCCTGTCCCCACCCCACTTGGCAAGAGATTAAGGTCTGCAGTAGGCTTTCTCTTACTATGACATTATCTGGCTTCATTAAGGAGAACCAACGCACACCAAGGATGGAAGGGCCATTTGACAAACGTCAGTGACCCAAGCCCTGAGTCTGCAGTTACGTTGCTCCCTCCCCCTTTACCTTTAAAATATGAACAATGGGCCCTTTTGTGGGGTTTGTCACTTCTGCTAGGCCCTTCTGAGTCACTGCATATTTTTATGTGTTCAGTAATATACAGTGTGAGTCATTCTCCAGCTTGGGGGTATTTTGGGACTTGTGCTGTTTTACTTACAATTGCAGAAAAAAATTAAATATTACAGAGGTGATAAAAAACACAGCAAAGTCATATGACCCAACTCAGTGTGTGTGCAATGCCAGGGTTGAGAAGAGAGCTGAGGTCATTGCAGATGGCTGCTTGGGGAGGGTGGTTCAGGTTGAGTGCCCAGCGTGACCCACTTTTGTTAGAGTCAGATAAGCAGGTGATTGTAGCATTCCCAAGAGATCTTATGCCAGAGGCAGAAGGAGCCAGCATTTCCACCCAATTCCTCAGAGTTTGAGGAGGAGAGGAGCTGTCTCTTCAAGTCTCTAGTTTCTCAGCTGGTACACTGGCAGCGGGGAGGGGAGGGAAGTGGCATGAAGGGAATGATGCTGAGCTTTTTCCTCAAATGGCTCAAGGCTTCGGTGGCTCATGGCCCTGACACAATTCCCGTCTCTAGGAGTTGCAGGCTAACATGAATGATACTAGTGGAGGACCTAAGTCACAGCTGAAAGGTTCCTGAGGGGCTCTGTGTCATGGGGGTGAGCCTCACCTCCTCGCTGCTCCTGAATGTCCCCCTGCTGTTGGCTGCATTGGGCAAGTCACTTCCTTACCATGGCCTCCATCTCCCTCGTGTCTGTAACATTGACCTAGACACTTAGTGACTGTGGATGCAGCTTGATCCTCTGCTTCTGACAGGTGTCCTGTGCGGGGTCTGGATGTTGGAGGCCAGGGCCCCTGTTCCTTTAGGAACCCATGTGCATAGGGCACTGGCGGGGGTCCTGGGGAGGGAGGCGTGGCCTAGGTATGGGAGTCTTGCAATTAATTGCATTCTGAGCCCCTGTCTCCCTCTTGGAGCTGCGGGGCCTGTCTCTTTCTATTAGTTTAACAAGCCCTGGTATTAATGAGATTGCTCTATAATTGAACCTTTTCACGGGTCCCTCGGTAATGAAATTATGCTAATTTGCATTCAGCACCACCAGGCATCCATCACGCAGGATCAGCCGGGAGCGGCCGGTGAGGCGGCGTGAATGCACCGCTAATTATCACCGAAATGAACAAACCCAGCAGTATTATTATTTCATCTTCTGCCCCTTCCCTTCCTCACTACCCCCCAACACCCAAGCTACATTTTTGTGTTGTCATCCATGTGACAGCCACAGCTGGGTTGGGCTGTGAGGAGGCAGCTGCTCTCTCCACTGTGTGGCAGCATGGACCAGGGAACAGGCAGGCTCTGGCTGTCTGCGGGCCGGGGCGCACACAGTGTGCACATGCACGTGAGAATCCACGCTGCCTGCTCCTCCGAGAGTGTGCAGTGTGTGCTGGTGTCCCGCTGTGTATTAGGGTGTGCAAACTCCTCTGCATTTTTGCGTAAGGCTGGGTGTGTGTGTTTGTGCTGTCTAGGTGCGAGCACATGTCTGTCTCTGCAGGCCTGTCAGCCCATGTGGGAGTGTGTTGTCTGTGTGAATGTACGGCCTGTGTCACCCTTGCTTGAGGGTGACGATGTGTGTCTAAGGAGGTGTGCATATCTTTGTGAGTATGCATGTGTGTTTGTGTGGGAACCTCAGCACACGTCTGTGCCTGGGTCATTGTGTGTGAGAGTGTGGAGTCACCAAAAACACATCTGTGCTTGGGGGTGGCTGTGTCAATGTGTCTGTGAGGTGTGTGTTTGGGATCTCTAGCTCGGTGTGTGTCCAGGGTGCTGAGGGTGGGAGTCTGTGCTGCAGGAGCAGATTGTGCATGTGAGTTTCTCTGTGCCGGTATCAGTGTTTAGAGGCGTGTGAACATGTGTGTATGCAGCTGGTCTCATGTCTGGGCATATCTGCTAGCCTGGGTTACCTAGAGGCTGAAGCCTGCCACACCTAGAATGACTCCCAGCGAGGCCACAGGGCAACCTAGTAAGGGGGCAACCAGAGAGCTTCTTCTTCCCATTTTCTGGGCCCCAGTGAGTCCTGGGCTCTTCTCTTACTGAGCCAAGAACAGTGGAAAGTGAGTTTTCTCCATGTTAGCTGGATGCAGGCTTGGGAGAATTTTATGTGATTTAGGGAAAATAGTTTGATGTCCCATAGCCTAAGTATGTACAGTACGACACTGTGGCTTCCCTGGGAACATTTGTTGGGTGCCTTTCTGTGGCAGGCTGCCTGGGTGCTTGGAGGATAGTGAGTGGGGAGGGAAAGAAGCCAGCAAATCCCTCCCTGAGTGTCTACAAGAGCAGAGGCGAAGCTCCTAATGAGAACATGTCCCCTCTGTGGCACTGACCATCTGCTGACTTTGGGGGAGACTCTTGCCCTGCTGGGAGACTCAGTTTTCCTCACTGTAAAATGGGAGTGTGAGAAGCACGGGCTTATGTGATTCACTTAGCATTATACCTCTAGTATGGAATTCCATGGCTGTAAGATATGCAAGTTGGAAGGAGGTGCCCCTAGCATGTGATGGGCAAAAGCCTGAGCTTTGAGAATAGCTCAGATGTTGAGCAAATTACTTAATTTTTCTGGGAAACATTTATAATATATGTTATTACATGCATGCCCTGAGATGAAAACAAGATCAGTAATATGCTTATAAATGTTTAATAGCTGATCTGAAGAAAATAATTGTATGCATATATGTGTATGTATATAAATAAATTATCCAATTTACTAATAGGAACATAGCACCCAATTTACAAATAAAGTACAGGGTCATATAGCCAGCTGATTCTTCCAGGACATTTTTGTTGATTTTTGCTGAACTCTCTCATTCATGGACAATCTATGGCTGCAAATGATGAATAAGTGTAGTTGTGACATGAATGCTTGTTGATATTTTCATTTTCATCAATGAGGCAGATAAAAATGAAATAACCAAAAGGTGTATTAACTTTTCACACATTTTAATGGTATGAAAGACTTCTTGTTGAATTGAATATTAGAAAAATATTTTCAGAATTTTGCACCGCTGAATGATATAACAGTGTTAGATGCCACACACTTTAAGTTTAATATGCATTATTAACATTTTCTTTATAATTTCCTAGGACTAAACAATCAACAAAATGATAAATCAAGCCCTGCTTTGTGATGTTGGCTGATTTCCATTGTGTTTATTCCCATGATGGCCAATTTCAAAGGAAGAATGTGGTGTCACTAGACCCAGGGTTTGGCATTTTATTAGTCAGCTTTCCTATTTCTGGAATACAGTACCCAACACACACAATTTAAAACAGAGATTTAATTTAGCTTATGGTTTCCGGAGATCCAGTCCATGATTTACTGGATCCAAGGCAAGAACGTCAA